GGTCTCGATCTCTTGACCTCGTGATCCACCCGCCTCTGCCTCCCAAAGTGCTGGGATTACAGGCTTGAGCCACCGCGCCCGGCCAAGAGATTCTTTATGTATTCATTCAATAAATATTTTAAACGCTCTATGTGAAAGGCACTGTTGTTAGGTGCTAGGAATAGACCAGGAAAGAAAAAACATGGCCCCATACCTTCGAGCTTACATCCCAGTGGTGGAGAAAGACCATGCACAAGTAAATAAATAAAGTAATTACAGACTGTAGTAAGTGTTGTGAAATACCACAGACAGCACTCAAGATAAGGAAGACCTGAGGCCTGAATGAGGAGTCAGTATTCCAGGCAGAGGCAGTAGCACAAGTAAAAGCCCTGACTGTGAACAGTCTGATGAGGCCTGAACTCGTTTAGGAGGTAGGAATGGAAAGAAGGGATGAATTTGTGAATATTTAGAAGGAAGGAATAATCACAAGGACAGACTGAATGTGGTAGCTAAGGTTGAACTTTGGCACCTTGGTGATAGTGGTGCCACTTGCATTGGGAAAGGAGGAGCAGGTTTTAGGGACAGGCATTTCCCCTCTGGAGGGCTCTCTTTCCCATCTGTACAATAGGTTAATATAACAATCCAGGGGAAAAAAAAACAAGCTTATTGCTAGGATTTTTGTTTTGGTGGTTTTCTGCTTCGTGTGTGTGTGTGTGTGTGTGTGTGTGTGTGTGTGTGTGTGTGTGTGTGAGATTGGGTCTCTGTCACCCAGGCTTGAGTGCAGTGGCATGATCACAGCTCACTGTGCCTCAGTCTCCCCAGGCTCAGGAGATTCCCCCCACCCCAGCCTCCCAAGTAGCTGGGAATACAGGCATGCATTGCCATGCCTGGCTAATTTTTTTTTTTTTTTAAGAGATAGGGTTTGCCATGTTGCCCTGGCCAGATTGCTAGCTCTTTTTTTTTTTTTTTTTGAGTTATCTCTTTTTTTTTTTTTTTTGGAGACAGAGTTTTGCTCTTGTTGCCCAGGCTGGAATGATGCAATGGCATGATCTCGGCATGCACCACCATGCCTGGCTAATTTTTTTTTTTTTTCTTTTTTTTTGAGACAGAGTCTTGCTCTGTCGCCAGGTGTCAGGCTAGAATGCAGTAGCACAATCTTAGCTCACTGCAATCTCTGCCTCCTGGGTTCAAGCAGTTCTCCTACCTCAGCCTCCCGAGTAGCTGGGACTACAGGGGCACCCCACCACGCCCAGCTAATTTTTGTATTTTTTAGTATAGACGGGTTTCACCGTGTTGGCCAGGATGGTCTCGATCTCCTGTAATAGGCGTGAGCCACCATGCCCAGCCAATTGTTAGTTCTTAAGAATGTTATGTTCATCACACCTTACAGAATTCCACATGAATCAAAGATTATGGCCAGGTGTCTCAAAAAATAAAATTAAATTAAATTTTATAAATAAAATAATAAATAGGAGGCTGGGTGCAGTGGCTTACGCCTGTAATCTCAACACTGGAGTTGGGAAAGGGAGGATTGCTTGAGCCCAGTTGTTTGTTTGTTTTCTGAGATGGAATTTCACTCTTGTTGCCCAGGCTGGAGTGCAATGGAGCTATCTCGGCTCACTGCAGCCTCCACCTCCCAGGTTCAAGCCATTCTCCTTCCTCAGCCTCTGGAGTAGCTGGGATTACAGGCGTGCACCACCATACCTGGCTAATTTTTTGTATTTTTAGTAGAGATGGGGTTTCACCATGTTGGCCAGGCTGGTCTCAAACTCCTGGCCTCAGGTGATCACCTGCCTCGGCCTCCCAAAGTGCTGGGATTACAGGTGTGAGCCACAGTGCCCGGCCTGAGCCCAGTAGTTTAAGACCAGACAGGGAAACATAATGAGACTCCATCTCTAAAAAAGTAGACCAGGCTGGGCATGGTGGCTCACACCTGTAATCCTGACACTTTGGGAGACCAAGGCAGGTGGATCGCCTGAGGTCAGGTGTTCGAGACCAGTCTCGCCAACATGGTGAAACCCAGTCTCTACTAAAAATACGAAAAAAAAAAGCCAGGTGTGGTGGCATATGCTGGTAATCCCAGCTACTTGGGAGGCTGAGGCAGGAGAATTACTTGAACCCTGGAGGCAGAGTTTGCCGTGAGCCAAGATCATGCCATTGCACTCCAGCCCAGGCGACAGAGCAAGACTCCATCTCAAAACAAACAAAAAAACACTCTTGGCAAAGTCAAAAGTCAAACAACAAACAGAAAAAATATTTGCAACTCATTTGACAAAGAGCTGAGTTTCCAAATATATAATGAGCACCTATGAATAAGAAAAATGGGGGAAGGGTACACACAGACACAGAAAGGATAATGTGTCTCAAACATATGAAGAGAGACTCATATTCTGCAAAGTAAGGTAGTTGCAAATTAAACCACCTGGAGATAACATTCTTCACCTCTCAGATTGGCAAAGATCAAAAAGTTTGATAACTGTGATGAGGATATGATGAAACAGGCACTTAAGGGGAATTGAGCAATAACCATCAAAACTCTGACCCAAATTGCCTACTTCTAGGAATAGATGCTATATACACACACACACATATGTGTATATATATATGCAAAGTTACTGCAGCAGTGTAATAACAGAAGATTGGAACTTATTTCAATGTCCTTCACTAAGGCACTGGCTAAATAAATTACTGTATAAAATGGTAGGAGCCATAAAAATAGTACTTTTGTACTCTTATGAAATGATTTTCCAAATATGTTTTGTGCAGAACTTTATGTATAGTATCCTACTATTTGCTTTATAAGGGTAAACTAACCTCCTAAAGGACACATCAGAAACTGCCTCTGGGAAGAGAAACTAAGTGGCTGGTGGACAACGAAGACTTTTCACTGTATGTCATTTGAACCTTGAGTTATCTTTTCAAAATACTCAAAAACAAAGGCAAAGAAATAAAACCCTTTGTGGTGGTTCTAGGTACATGGAGTTAGTGAGAAGGGAACCAATATTTGAGCTCCTACCATGTTTCAGACACTGTTCCAAGTACTTTCACATACACTATCCCATTTAGTGACCTGTGTAAACCACTGAGATGTATATAAATTATTCTAATTTTACAGGTTAGAAAATAGGTTGGATTGCCATGGGAAGATATGCAAAAAACAAAAACAAAAAAAAAAACAGGTTGGATTGTGGTCAAGTACTTTATTCGGTGTCGTGCCTGGTCTAGCTCCAAAGCTCCAGCCTTCTCCGCTTCTCACACTGCTTCTGTTTAAGCAAAGTATCCTCTCTTTTTTTTTTTTTTTGTCTCATTTATTGGGCACTTGATATAACAAAACTGCTAAGTGCTTTATGTATGTATTCTCATATAATTCTCAAGACAACTCTGGAAGGTAGGAACTACTCTCCGCCTTTTACAGAAAAGGTAAAGGAGACATCTCGCGTAACGAGCCCAAGGTCACGGGTACACAATCGTTTGGAAGCCAGGTTTGATTCCAAAGCTCCGGCTCCAAAGTCCAAACCACACCCGGTTCAAAGGACAAAAGCAGGAACGCTCGCTCGCTGGGCCCTGGGAGGTACGGACACTTCCGGGGGAGGGGCGGACACTTCCTGGGGAGGGGTAAAGCCAGTGAGCTGCGGAAGGCGGGGCAGGCGCCTCTTCGGCGAGCTAGCGCGAGGACGTGCCGCAGCGCCGCTCGTCGATCACCTTGCCCCGCCCCACGTCGGCGCGCCCCCGGGCAAGCTCCTCCCCTAGCCCTGCCTGGGCGGGAAGCGAACGCGCGCTCCCTCCGGTTACCCTCCGCCTAGGGGAAGGGCGGGAGAAGCGGAGGCGCGCGCTCGCGAGCTGCGTGCTTGCGTACGTCGCCGGGGTTCGGCTGCGTCCGTCCCGCCGCCCGCCCATTGCCGCCGCCGTCGCTGCCGCCGCGTTCTCGCTTTGCCCGCCGCCGCCTAAGGGGGGCTGGGGCCGGGGCCAGCCACCACCGCCGTTGCCGGGATGCCGCGGGTGTATATCGGCCGTCTGAGCTACCAGGCCCGGGAGCGCGATGTGGAGCGCTTCTTTAAGGGCTACGGGAAGATCCTGGAGGTGGATCTGAAGAACGGGTGAGGAGGGCTGAAGAGGGGCCGGCCGGGCGGGGACAGGTCCCAGTGGTGGTGGGGAGGCCGCGGGGACGGCAGAGGGACGCTTGGTCCGCGCGGAGCGGCTACCGGCCTGGCCAGGCTCCGCCATAGTGGCGGCGCCTCGGGGGCGCGGGTAGGCCCCGGTTCCCACTGCGCCTGCGCGGGTGGGGGTGGTAGAGGCATAATGGGAGCTGTGGTGAGGCCCTGAGTGGGACGGGGTGAAGGAAAGCCCGAGTGGGGCTGGGGCTCCGGGCGGGAGGGCACAGTTCCAGGGCGCCCGGGAGACCTGGGTTTTCCCTTCCTAGGCCCGGGACCGGAGCCTGGTTTGTCTCTGGGTAGAGACTAACCTTTCCCGCTCTGAAGACTACTGGAAATAAACAGGATTTCCTGCTCCCTTTCACCTCTTCCCCAGTCTCACGGATCAGACAGTCACATTGCGTCTTTCCCGGGGACAGGAGCGCTGGAGGGAGGCACATTTTAGCCATGTGCCACACTCTTTTGGGCGGGAGACTCCAGTTTGAGTAGTCTAGTGACAGTTTCGAAAGTATCGTCTTGCCGTGCTGAAAGCCTTCAGCGTTCCCTCTGAAGTAAGCAAGTCTTAACTCCTTATCTTTAAGACTCCGTGCAGCGTTTCCACGCTGTGGTTTCCGTTCTCCAACTTGCAGAAAAATTGCTTTGCCGTTGTAGAATTTGTTAGAATAGTGGCCACCCTGGCCAGTGTCTGCGTCTGGTTAACGCAGATGGAGACGACATTGTTAACTTCCTCCCCCAGCGTATGATCTGTTCTTTGTATTCTTAATCTACTTCGGCAAAAATAGGCCCAGCATGAGCTACAGGTTTCAGAGAAAATAGATGAGGAATCAGGCCTGGATAAAATACTCAACGGGGAAAACTGGGAAACAGGAAATGTTAGGTAGTGCTTGGAAGGCATGGATATAAAATTAAAATGACTGGGGGGAACATTTTCGGGCACCAAACCTTGGATGTTAGAGAGCTCTTGGCTTTAAAAAAATCCCTTTACTTTGCAACAGGTCTAATATAGCTACAGTTTACTCCCTAGCGTCATATACTAGCAAATGACTCCTGAAACATTTTGAAAGTTACCTGAGTTTCACATTTGAGAAAAATTGGTAGCTACTGTGTTCTCAAATGATTGAGTTTATAAAGCCATTTCAAATTGTTAGGAAGAATCGCCTTCTTTCTGACGACATCTTTAGTAAAGTCCTGATTTCTTTTACAGTAAAAAGCTTAGAAAATTACTACTTTTATACAGTAGAATGTTCAGCTCTTAAGGATATGTTAAATTGGGGAGTAGTAGTTATTGTATGCATATAATATATGTGAAAGTTAAAACTCGAATTTTTTTCAGAGCGCAACGAAATTAACAGAATAACTTTTGTGGGCAAAGTGTGGGTGTTGAAGCCAGTTAGGCCTAAGTCAGATCCCGATTCCACCCCTATCTATGGGCAAGTTATGTCTCTGAATCTGTTTCCTCATTCATGTAGAAAAGGAAGATTAGAGATAATAAATGTAAAGCATTTGGCTTAGGCAGTAAGCGGCAGCTATAATCAGAGGGATTTCACCATAATTCATGAGGACTCATCTTCGATTGTTGGTGTTTGATGACATAAAGCATGTTTTGGTGAGGTCTGTTTTCTAAGGTTACTCAGGTGATAGTGTGCAGGAAATGACAAGACTGTAAATGGGAAACTGATTCATCAACGAAATGTATTGATAACCCATCAACAGTGTCCACCACTGTGCTAAATGAATTGGGGAAGGAGGCGGAAAACAGTTCTGCTCTTGAATAAATTAAGCATTATGACGTGTGCACTTTGATTTAAGAAATGTTTGCTTTCACTTTAAACTCTTAACTAGTAAAACTTGAAATGATTTGCTTGAAAAGATGTGTTGAAATGGGCTTTGAAGAATAGATTAACTAGAGCTTGAAGTGAAGAAATTTAGGTGTTTAGCCAAGGTGTGAGGATTACTTCAGGCCAGGAGTTTGAGACCAGCCTGACCCCATCTCTCTAAAAATTTTTTGATTAGCCACTGTGTGATGGCACTTGCCTGTAGTCCTAGGTACTTCAGAGGCTGAGGCCGGAGGATCACTTGAGCCTAGGATTTTAAGGCTGCAGTGAGCTGTGATTGTGCCACTGCACTGGAGTCTGGTTAACAGCAAGACCCCCGTCTCTAATAAAATAAAATACAATGATGACTTTTTTTGCTTTTTGATGAATGGGGAAAATACATTTTTTCCATAATTGTGTTGAAGACGTGGCCTGATAAGAAGCAATTATGAGAAATAATAAACAATCGAACATGGATTGAGCCTTATGAGGGATCTGGAAATTCAACAACATAAACCAGAAACAATCACTGTTAAGATTTTACACTAAAAATTCAAAATCAATGACTAGGAGTTCAAAAGCTCTGGAAGGAAGAAGTGAGCAACCCAGGAAATGGAGTGATAAGAAGAAAGCCTTTCAGGACCCTAAATACCTGGGTGTTTTTTGTGGTGGTGGTGGTTTTGGATGGAATTTCTCTCTTGTCACCCAGGCCGGAATGCAATGGCACAGTCTCAGCTCACTGCAACCTCCCACCTTCTGGGTTCAAGCGATTCTCCGGCTTTGCCTCCTGAGTAGCTGGGATTACAGGTGCGCATCACCACTCCGGGCTAATTTTTCTGTGTTTTTAGTAGAGACGGGCGGGGTGGGGGGGATCTTGCCATTTTGGCCAGGCTGGTCTCAAACTCCTGACCTCAGGTGATCCACCCAACTCAGCCTCCCAAAGTGCGGAGATTATAGAGCTACCATGCCCAGCTAACCTGGGTGGGTTTTTTTATATTTTTATTATTTTTTATTTTTTTTATTTTATTTATTTATTTATTTTTAAGTTGGGGTTTCACCGTGATGGCCAGGCTGGTCTTGAACTCCTGACCTCAGGTGATCCACCCACCTCGGCCTCCCAAAGTGCTAGGATTACAGGTGTGAGCCACTGCACCCGGCCACCTGGGTGGTTTTTTAAGGAACTGTTCATTCTTACAGTTACACTGCTAAACCTTGATATGCATGAAATGCATTGAAAGTCAAGGTTGAAATGAGGAAGTCATTTTAGAGTTTGGAAGACAAATATGACAGTCACCAAACGGCACACAATATGACCTCCTGGCATCATTCAGGAATCATTACAGAGGAAAATGACTTCTGGGAAGAAGACCAATGGTAAAGATGTATTTCAAGCAAAAATTGCCTATATAGCAAAAAGGCAGGAGAGTCTGAAAGGAAGAGTGGGTATAAAGGAAAAAGCATAATTTAGCTATATATGTAAGTTTATAGTCCCCAAACAGAAGGGTAGTGGATCTCCCTACTGAGAGGCATGTTTGAACATATCTAGATTGTGATTGTTAGTAATTGAAATTCAAAAGCAGATTTTGGATGCTTTGGATAGGTCTTTGAAGAATTGCTGGAGTTCAGAGTTGTAGAAGTGAGATATATCAGTAGATATGTTAGGCTGAAGGGTTGCAGGTAAAGTTTAGAATTAAGGCATAAAATGCTAGTGTATAGACCAGTCACGGTGACTCACTCCTGTAATCCCAACACTTTGGGAGGCTGAGGTGGGTGGATCATTTGAAGTCAGGAGTTTGAGACCACCCTGGCCAACATGGTGAAACCCCATCTCTACTAAAAATACAAAAATTAGCTGGGCATGGTGGTGGGCACCTGTAATCCCACCTACTCCTAAGGTGTAGAGAATTGCTAAGGCAGGAGAATTGCTTGAACCTGCGAGGTGGAGGTTGCAGTGAGCCGAGATTGCACCACTCACTGCACGCCAATGTGGGCAACAGAACAAGACTCTGTCTCAAAAAAAAAAAAAAAAAACTTTTCTAATAGGAAGATGACCAAATAAGGAAACAAAATGAGTTCTTCAAAGGAGATTTAGTGTCCAGGAAAGGATTCCATGGACCCTGATAGGATTTGGAGAAGAGGTATATAAGCAGGAGTTCATTGCCTGACATTATACCAGGCAGCCCTAATGCAGGTTGCCATTGTTTTAGAGAACTTTTTGAGAGATGGTTTGGGACCACAAATATGACGAAGATCTCCCAGGATCATATAGACCATTCCAGATCCCTTCAGTGTCCCCTGTGTTTCTACGTGCCATATAAACTGTATCAAGAATCACTGCAGGGAAGCGGGGAGGGGCAGGAATCCTAGATATATGTCAAGGAAGCAGCAATATTATTAGCACCACCTGTTAATAGCCTTTTAGCTCTATGGTAACTTGCTGGCTTTGATTGTGTATGGATTTTCTTTTTATAATAAGCCACTTCATGTAAAGTGTGAAAGATTTTTGAGTACACTAGTTGCTGTTTTGCCACAAAATCTTGTGGTTTTAGTCTGATCTTTGTATCTTAGCTTTTCCATATTTTAGTTAATAAATAAAACTTGCCACGTACTAACATTATTTTGCCTGCTTAGTAGCTGGAAGGACAAAACCCCAAATAATTGAGATTTATATTTTAATTTTTAGTTGGTTAAAGTCATGAATTAAAACTCTCAAGGGAAACTTGTATTTAAACTTCAGAACCTGTATTTCATATAACAGTGAAATCATGACTAGCTTGAATTTTCAGGGGGTATTATGGTCTATTTAATCATGCTCTCTAGTTATTACCAAAAGATTTTTGGTTTTGCCCTTGTTTAATGCACAATAATTTTTTTAATGTGGAGTTCAAGACTCTTCAAGTGAGGCAGGTCGTTGTTATGTGTGTCCCTGATCACTGGAGGGCATTATTAAGCCTTAGATACTGAGAAGAATCTCTGCCAACCCCAGCACCTACACAGAGATTTTTCTCTTCTGACTCCTGAATTCTTGAATTCTTGACAGATTGGGAAGTGTATAGTTAGTTTAATGCTTCAGGTTGCTGGTTTCTGGTTAGTTGAGCTGTTACAGTATTTTTTTTTCTTTTTAGTTTTTAA